TAGAATATTTCACGTCCGTTCTGATATTCAGGTTCACCCAAATAAAAACAACCGTTGCAGGATTTAAAACTATCTTGGATCATTCTGTTCCTTTTCTTTGGAATTTACGTTAGAAATTTATGAAGTAAAACAAATACTATATGAAATATTAGAGAATAGAAAAAACAACGTCAAATGTAAGTGAAACATAAGATTAACATAATTTTAATATTAACATAATTTTATACAACATATTTCTTAATATTTTGTAATTTATAATCGTGTTTAATATATTCTTTTTTCATACTTTTGTGTTCATTGTGTCCTTGTCCTACAATTCGAATGAAAAAAAAATAACAATAAAACTAAAAAAAAAATTGGATGGCCCGGGGATTGAACTGAAGCCAAAAGAACGACACATGGCGCTTTAACCACCGCGGCCACTGAAGCACTTAAAATTTTCGCCACACACCTGGCCTATGAGGCGCTCGTAAATTTTTTTTTTCCAAAACGAAGAGGCATTAATAAAAATCCTTTTGCACAGAATATACATTAATGTTGTAGAATAACCCAAAAAAATTTCATCAAAATCCATGACATCATATACGTGCGGTCTCCTTGTCAGTTAAAAATCAAAAGTAACTTACCCAACCCTGTTCTTTGAAAAATCCGAAAAGAGGTGAAACGTCTAGACCTTGTTAAGAATAAATGACATAATTATAATCGAGAGTTTTTTGCTATGGGACTAGAATATTCGTAATTTATATTATAGCTTTACTACTTCTTTTTTAATATTTAGTAATTATTTTTTTTAGCGAACCTGAATATCTTTTATCTTTAAATATGTTGTCGATGTCATTTCTCTGAGTAATATTTAAAACTTTACAATTTAATATTTAAAATTATATTGTTTATTAAAAAATTGTTAATAAGAGAAGTTAAATAGGAAAAAAATATAATTTTTGATTAACGTATATAATGTACACATGATGTTTCTTCTAATGTAAGCATTTATTTTCATTTTTTATGATACACAAATAAAATATTTATTGAATTTTATTATTGAATTTAAAATAAAAAATATCATGACGAGAAAAACTTTTTTGGAGGCATATTTCCCTTATAGAAATATCATACTAAGAATCATTGATAATTACTTATTTTTAGTATTAAAAATACTGGATAATAAGTAATTATCAATGATTCTTAGTATGATATTTCTATAAGGGTTTTACAAGATTTCAAAAATAGATATTTTTTTTAATAGACATTTTCATTAACACAATGATATAGCTAATACAAACTCCAATTTTATAAGAAAAAGACCACAAAATTCACGTGTTTATTGCAAATATGTATATCTTTTATCTCAAAGAAATTTTACCTATGGTTATATATAATCCTTTGTCGATCGTAGTATCTGTCAGATACAGTTTCTAACTTTGAGATAACATATAGTCAAACAATAAACAATATAAGTACATCTTTCCCTCTTTCTCCCCCTCTCTCTACCTTTCCATACCTCCCCCTCCCTTTCTCCTCTTCTCTCTCTCTCCCTTCTCTCTCCCCTACTCTCATCGCTTCTGTCTTTCCCTCTCCCCCTCTGTCTCCCTTCTCTCCCCCTCTCTCCATCCTTCTTTCTTTCCCTCTCTCCTTCTCCCTCCCTCTCATCCTCTTATCTTTTCGTCTATTGCACATGTTACTTACCTTATGCACATTTTAATTTTTAATGCACAATTCTTCTTACGTTTATTTTAGGAAGGTTACCAAAAGACTGAAGAAATTACGTCATAATATATAGGAATCCCTCCGCGAAAGTCGTAACCGAAGAGAGGGAATAACATTTCCCTTCTCCTTCAATAATTATTCAAAATGTTTTCTCTCTTATACAATGCGAGATATATTTACCTGTCCATATATAACTACCATTTTTAGATTACATAGTTTAATGTTTTAATATTGTTGGAAATTAAAAACTTACGTCACATTGTGTTTATACAATTATTTTGTTTTTAGATTATTTTGTACATTTAAAAAGTTTGAAATTTTTTTAATTATCATAGAAAAATAGAATAAATAAAAAACAATAAAACGTAACATAGCATTAATTAAATGTCCTAAAACCTTAGTCCATTCAGCTACGCCACCTCGGTGATAAAGAATGTTAAGTTTCGTGTCGTGCGCGATACACGTTTGTAAACCCAAATTTGCATTGTAATTTTTCATAAACAAAATTTTATTTACTCAAACCCTTTTAGGATTTGTATGTTCTACATACAAGCTATTGAACGAGATGTGACTCATCTGGTAATCTATTTCGCGATTCGTCTTTTCTCTTTGATACATATAAAGTTTTCACAGCTTTTTTTTCTTTACAAACACCCAGAAAAACAGAGATTCTGAACATAGTATGCAAATATTTAATATATACTTTATATTATTATTGTAACACAACAAGTTTAATTTTAAATATGCTTGCTTTAAGAAATATCCATTAATTACGCCATATATAATTTTAATAAAAACTATTTTTTATTAATATCATAATTCCGGATTGCATGTTCTTTTCAGCAAAATGAACAGCAGTTTTCATGAGATCAGATAATTTCTTTTACAAATACTTTCGTAAGTTTCATAATACATATATACGCGCTGTTACGTCCTGCGGGACTCCACAATATTTAATTATTATTTCGTTTAAATTATCACGAATCCGAACAAGCGCATGTGCCCAATCAACAGACAATGTTTTTTAAACGTTTTTTAAATATTTATTTTTCATTGATATTACGTTGTACAGTTTATTGTAAAAATAATATTTATTTAATGTTTATTAAATGTTTATATAACATTTATTAACCATTTAAAATAAAGATTTAAGAAAAATATTTATATAACATTTTCTAACGTTTATTTGACATTAAATAAAACGTTTAAAATAATATTTAAAGAAACGTTTATTTAATATTGATTTAATATTTGTATTACATTAATCAAACATTTAAAATAACAATTTAGGAAAAATATTTATGTAACATTTTTTTAACGTTTATTTAATATTTATTTGACAATAAAAAAATATTAAAATGATATTTAAATAAACATTTCTTAATATTGATTTAATATTTATATTACATTAATTATTTATTTTAAAATTATTCATATTAAAAAAAAAATACAATTTATGAAAAATATTTATGTAACATTTTTAACGTTTATTTAATATTTATTTAATATTAATAAATCGTCTTAATTAATATTTATAAAAATAATTATTTCACATTCGTGTAACATTTATTTTATATTTAATCCATACCAATGAGAAATGCTTCCCAAGTAGTAGACTCACGTCAAAATGACGTCAAAATCTGGTCATAACTGGTCGATTGACGTCAAGTGATTAAATAACGACGTCTTTAAGACATCTTTTTTCTGATGTTTTAAAGACGTTTCTATATAATGTCTTAATGATGTGTTATTGACGTTTAGAGACGTCATTAAGTCGTCTTAAAATGTCATCATCGGTCTGTGACATTAGATCGTCATTTTGACGATACTTTCACGATATTTTTGTTCATTCCTTGGGTAACGCAACAATTTCCCGAAAAATGGAGGGGATAAGATTGGTACCAACGAAAACCTCTAGATGACATAATTTCAATTTCTAAGGATTACTGACACTGTTTAAGTGGTAAACTGTTAGTTTGCGCAAACTTTTTGACAGATGTGCGCGCGTGTATATCACAAATATTATGCAACCGTCAAATTACAAATGAAACATACTTTGTAGTATTTTATTAAAATAAGATAAAATAAAAATGACATAAGTGAAAGCATAAGGTGCGTAGAACATAATAAATAAGACAAGTGAGAACATAAAGTGAATAAGGTGAAAAACATTATATATTTATAGATATATACAGGGTGAGCTATTTTAATCGACGGATCCAAATTGCTCCTAAAATACGCCAGCTACAAAAAAATGGTTAAGACAAGAATTGTAGAGGACAATTACGGGGGTCATTTTACCGTGCTAATAATTTTGACCTTCAGATCGATTTTTAAGGTCATTCGAAAGTCAAAGTTATTTTTTTAAATTAAAACCCCTACTTTTGACACCGGATTCGAAAAGAGCAGAAAATTTTACGTTAAAAATGATATTTAGATTTTTTTCTGAATCCAAGAAGGTCAAATAAAAAATGATTAAAAACAACTTAGAAGCCATTAATGTTAATTTTAAAGATTTTTATGCATGATAAGTGTTTCGCGGTACTAACAAATACTAATAGAAGAAAAGTTGCGAAACGTTGTCATTCCATTTCGAAATTGATGTGCAATAATCTCACTTTGATATGATTATTAATAAGGCGTAATAAATAAAATTTTAAAAGTAAAAACAAACACTTGTACCTTGAAGCAAACGGAGGCAACTTTGAACAGTTACTCCGTGGGTAATTATGATAAATTGTAGTTATGGTGAGAGGCAAGGGGACTCACGATAATCAAGCATCCCAAAGGAAACAGAACTTACTACGTCCACGTCGTTGTTTCCGGGTAACGCTAAAAGTATTGAATTAACATCTTCCAAGTTCTTGATTTGACCTTCTTGGACTTACAAAAAAAAACCAAATATATCATTTTTAATGTAAAATTTTCTGCTCTTTTCGAATCCGGTGTCAAAAATAAGGGTTCTAATTAAAAAAAATGACTTTGACCTTCGAATGACCTTGAAATCCGATCTGAAGGTCAAAATTATTAGCACGGTAAAATGACCCCCGTTGTCCTCTACAATTCTTGTCTTAACCATTTTTTTGTAGCTGGCGTATTTTAGGAGCAATTTGGATCCGTCGATTAAAATGGCTTACCTTGTATACACACACGTGCATGTATATGTATAATTGGATAAATAATTATTATATGTAAATAAATAATTAAAATTTTTCAGTGTTTTGGCATGCTTCAATATAAATATCAGTAATGGTTGTGGCTTAGTTTTTCGCATTGGAATAAATTTGTCACCATTGCAATAAACAAATATCAGATAATTATTAGGTAAGTAGTTAATATTCAAATAAAATAAAAGATGAAGTATCTATGTACAATCTGTAATTATAAATGTTGGACTGATTCTTTCTTTTGATTAATTTTTTGTTTCAGCTCCCCAGCTATCAATGTGCTTGCAGAATATTAATTACTGGAAGACAGTTCTGTGAAGTAAGATTGCAAAAGTCTGTAGTTACTGTGTCCTTGAATGCGTCCCACTTGTAATCAAAAATTGAATCACCTCCTAACATCAAATATCAGAGTAAGATGTGTCACTACGAGTGTGACGACAGATGGACGCAACAAACCGAGAACAGGTTTGTAACATTGATATTTACTGTCATCAATGTTTTCGACGGATGTACTTGATGTTTTTTATCACTTTATCATATAGCCTACTTACCTATATATTCCTCTTATTTTTTAGCAAACAAGATGTTTTACCTACGTTTGCCTCTGCAAGTATGGTTATTGGGATTTTATCAAAGATAGTGAACTTTTCCCAAAAGTTGGCAATCAGTATTTGATAGAGATAACTACAGTAAAATGAAAAATAAAAATCATATAAAATTAATGTATTATTATTATTGTTTTTATTATTATTATTCATGAATTTTTTGGTATGCAATATTATTTTATAACGTTTAAAGGATTTTTCTAACATTAGAAATGCTTGTCAATTTCATGAAATAATTGTATCTATAAATAAATATACTAATTACGAATTGTAAATAATAAGTTGTTTTTATCAGAACATTAACTATTATTTATTTTATCGTTTTTTGTTAATCGTCTTTTACTTTGAAACTGTTGCTTTTTTTAATGATTCCTTTCCTTAATCATTCCTATTATAAATGTTTTTTATGCGTAAAAAGAGTTAGTAACGGTTTCCAAATTTAGACTTTTTTAAATCAAATATTGCGCTTCATTATGAATTCATAGCGATTCATTGTTTTTCGTAATTGTCATTTTGCTTTTTCATGGCATTGTGATATGTGACATTGTTCATTATTTTATTCTGCATATTTTCTACATTTCGCCGAGATGTCTGATGAAAATAAGTGCAATAATAATATAAGGATTCAACAGCCCAAATTAGTTTATGATGGATATCATTTTCATTGCAATAAATCTTACGGAGAATCTTAGTATTTTCTTAATCAAATAATAATTTTTTTACTCTAATAATTTAATACTTCTTTAACTATATACTATTTGCCTCCCAGATAACAGATTCAAATTATATTTACGTCATTTTCAGGTTATTTACTAATTAAAAATAATTAAAAAAGTGACTAATAAATGCCGCGAAATAGACGTCATAATTTCGGTCGAACATTACATATCGATGACTACATTTTAAGACGTTTTAATGACGTTTGTATGATGTCTTAGACAACTACAAACCAGACATTTTAAAGATATCATAATTGATGTTATTTGATATCATTAAATCAGTCTTGATTAATTTTTGACGTTAAAATGACATAGACCTGTTATTTGGGTATTATACTTTTTTTAGGCAGTTATTATTTTTTGATAATTTATCTTTATTTTCATGTAATTCTTTGTATAGTTTTGTACAAATTAATAAGACAACTTTTTTATTTATTTAAATAATTAGCATAGAAGTTTACAAGGTTGAATTTGATGTATTTAATTATGAATATTTTTCTCACAGATATTATGAATGCAGTTTACGTAAAAATAAAAACATTAAATGTACAGCACGCTTAAAAATAAAAAACGGCAACTACGTTTTAAATGAAAAGCATAACCATAATAAATATGTTTTTAAATTATCAAACATTAAAAAGGAAATAGAAGCGTCACATCACTTTCAATCCACTAGAATAATAAGAAACACAATTATTTCAAAGTGAGTGCAAAACAATGAAACAGAAAATATTAAATGCTATTAAGAAGAAAATTACATACAATTTTTAATTGGTAATTTTTGCATTAATGTTTAGGTACGATAATTTGCTAGATTTTACGAACATTAGAAACGATCTATTGAACGTTCTAAAAAGAAGAAAGGTTTTGGACGGACTCCACAAAATTTAAATGATCTGAACATTAGTTTAAAAAATAAAAAATGGCAGCAGTTATTACAAATAAACGAAACACATTCATTCATTACAGAATCAGTGATTGAAAATAATGATACTAAAGCAGTCATTTTTATTGATAAATATATGACTGAAAATATAAAAAAATTAACGAATAATAATTTAACTATTTTTTGTGATGGTATCTTTGCTACGGTGCCTCAATTAAGTAATAATAATTGTCAGTTATGGATAATTGTTATTAGATATAATGACAGAGTAAGTAAAAGAATTCATTACTGTATTAATTAAATAATAAATAGTTTATATAATTGAAAGAGACACTAAATGTAAATATATGAATAATTTCAATTTTTATGAAATTTCAGACATTTCCTATTGTGTATACAATAATGGAAGGTTGTACAAAAAAAATTATTTAGAAGTTTTAAGAAAAGTCAACAATATTATCCAAATAAGACCAGAAACAATATTAACCGATTTTGAGAGAGCTGAGCAAAATGCGCTCAAAACAGCATTCCCCAACACAAAAATCATTGGTTGCTTTTTCCACTATAGCCAAGTAATAAAAGATAACAATGCACATAATAAGAAACATGAAATGCATTAATTTTCCTTATATTGCTTTCTTTTTACAGGTGTCAGTACGCAATGCGAAAATATATAAAATTTTAAAGGGTGACAGATAAGAATTAGGATGGAATGCGACAAAATTATTAATATCTTTAGCATTGTTGCCCGAATTATACATAGAAGAAGGTTCTAATATAATCACCAAAGTTATTTTTGATAAATGTACATATTTAAAAACATTTTTTAATTATTACAAACAAACATGGATCGACAATTTTAAAACCAGTTCGTTCTGCGTATATAAACAATTACACAGAACAAACAATATAAGCGAACGACATAACAGAGAATTGAAGGAAAGTTTTCGTAAACATTCAACAATACTCACATTTTTAGGTATAAGCGTTCTATTGTAGTTATTGCTAGAATATTTTTATCGTTCTTACAATAGAATATTATTTACAGCAAATCTAACAGAACACCAAAAAAGTATTCACAACATGATGAGGCATCCAACATTTTGGATGAGGTTAGACTTAAACTGCTCCTTAAAAAAAAAAAGAAGAAGAAATACAAAAGATTTGGAAAAAATTGATAATAATGAAGATTTAGATTTATTATTAATCTTATATGACTTATCGCAATTAATAGGAAAAGAGGAAATAAATGCATAACATGTTCTTACTTCTATTCTTCTTTTAATTTTCCTTGTTGTTTCACAAATTTGTGATCCTTGACATCCTTGCATCTTCCATTTATGATTTTTATTTTTTATTTTATTGTAGTTGTCTCCTTTTAGGACCAATTGTCAATTTTTTGGAAAAATTTACCATTTCTGACCATAAATCCCAATAACCATACTTGCAGAGGCAAACGTAGGTAAAACATCTTGCTTGCTAAAAAATAAGAGGAATATATAGGTCAGTAGGCTATATGACAAAGCGATAAAAAACATCAAGTACATCCGTCGAAAGCATTAATGACAGTAAATATCAATGTTACGAACCTGTTCTCGGTTTGTTGCATCGATCTGTCATCACACTCGTAGTGACACATCTTACTCTGATATTTGACGTTAGGAGGAGATTCAATTTTTGCTTACAAGTGGGACGCATTCAAGGACACAGTAACTTCAGACTTTTGCAATCTTACTCCACAGAACTGTCTTCCAGTAATTAATTAATTCTGCAAGCACATGGATAGCTAGGCAGATGGAACAAAAAATTAATTAAAAGAAAGAATCAGTCCAACATTTATAATTATAGATTGTACATAGATACTTCATCTTTTATTTTATTTGAATATTAACTACTTACCTGATAATTATCTGATATTTGTTTATTGCAATGGTGACAAATTTATTCCAATGCGAAAAACTAAGCCACAACCATTACTGATATTTATATTGAAGCATGCCAAAACACTGAAAAATTTTAATATTTATTTACATATAATAATTATTTATCCAATTATACATATACATGCACGTGTGTATGTATATATATATATATATATATATATATATATATATATATATATATATATATATATATATATATATATTGTTGCGCCCCAAGGTGGTGAGACACGCTGAGTAGGTTCGGGATCGGTGGGTCGAGAATGCAAAGGCGGAGTGATGTAGTTTAATAAATAAATTTAATGCACTTCTTGTGTGAACTTCCCGAGTTCTTATTACTTAATACAAATTGACGGTCGCGTAAGTTGCTATCGCGGGACCGGAGGAGCAATAACCTGTTTGGCGTTCTTCTCTGGTCCTTTTATAATCTATAATTAGGTCATAGGCGGGGGTGTTTAGACAACTGTAAAGTTGTTGCATTTAATGCTGACCTGTCCCCAATATGTTGTAATATATTTTCAAGGCGACGCTTAGCGTAGCACTTGCGCAATCATAATAATGTTGTAGCGCTGTCGAAGCGGTTTCTTACGAAACGTTTCGGCAACGCTAAAAATAATACTAACGATTATAACAATATATATATATATATATATATATATATATATATAAATGTATAATATTTTTCATCTTATTCACTTTATGTTCTCACTTGTCTTATTTATTATGTTCTACGCACCTTATGCTTTCACTTATGTCATTTTTATTTTATCTTATTTTAATAAAATACTACAAAGTATGTTTCATTTATAAT